AGATACTTCACTTCACTGACTCTACAGATCTCTACATCATCAATTTTAAATGAAACATCTAGAGTTCTCTAACTGTTACTGAAAATCATAGAATTTGTTTTGTCCCAGTTTAATGATAATTTATTTAGTTGAAACCAAATTTGTATTTTCACAAATTCTGTCTGTGCCTTCAACAAAGAAGGAGGGTTTTTTAAATTTTACAGCGAAGTTTGGAAATTTATCACGGACCACAGAATTTGTTTTTAAATGCAAGTTTAGCAACTTAGCTGAAGAAATGTCCTGATGCATCTCAGTAATCCAGGTAAAAAATCAAAGGGAAAAAAAATTGTATAGGTCCTCTGGACGGGTTCTTCTTTAATGAAACGTTTCGTCTCTCCTCCAAGAGACTTCTTCAGTCTGAGAGTTTCAGGCTAAATTCAGGCTTTTGCTTTTTCTGCTACAGCGCTGCCATTGGCAGTATCACTCCACCCCTGTTAACAATAGGTGTTAATTAGGTGTGATGTGAGTATCAGTCACATGGAGGCAGGACTCAAAAGCCTGAATTTTGCCTGAAACTCTCAGACTGAAGAAGTCTCTTGGAGGAGAGACGAAACGTTTCATTAAAGAAGAACCCGTCCAGAGGACCTATACAATTTTTTTTCCCTTATTTCTTTGATTTGCCAAAACTTAAAGTAAAGTGCCAGTAAAATTGTTTGGTTGGTTAACATCAGAACTGACATTTTACTGTCTTATTATAAGTAATCCGAGTTGATGTGAATTGAAATTTGGACTCAGGTTTTATCTCATTAATTCTGACGCTTGTTATAGGAATAACCACAATCAAGTGTAACTTATGATCTGTTCAATTTGTATAAATAAATGATTGCATAGTCATTATGAATCAACTTGAACTCGTCTGAGCGTTCACTTATTGTGTCACTTTTCACTTCCCACAGTCTAGATATTAACGAGTAGTGAGAAATACCTTGGTAAAAGTTTCCTCATAACCTTGGGTATGAGCGATGTGGAAGAAGCTTAATTCACCTTAAACTCACCCCCTACATCATCATGTGACTCAATTGAACTAATCACTCTCAAAAATACCACTGAAAAATCCAGTCAAAAATCTCACCTTGACATTTTAATACCTCCACTGGTATGTCCTTGTCCTTGTCCTTTCCATTGACTTCCACTCCTTTTTTGGTAATTTTATATCCTAACCCTAACCATTTACCCTAACATTAACCTCGCAGGTACCTACCTGACCCTAAAACTAACCTAAACTCAATTTACACCTTGGACAGTCGCTCGCCCTCCTCCAGCTACCCATTCTCACTCCTGAGTCGTCACATATTGATGCTTTTCCAAAGTTCCCTCTGCGTCCAATTTTGACGCATCTGGTTCTCCCCTTGCGTCAATTTTTGATGAGATGAGGCGGAATCTGCTGTCATAATTTCAGAAAGTGTAGAAAATGCAGAAAAAATACAGTCCCAAATACTAAAATTACCTTTATTCACTTTAGACATCCTGTCCCTGACCCTAGTACCTAAAATTAACCATTAATCCTGATCCCTAAAATTAACCATTAACCCTGATACCTAAAATTTGCCACTTTTAGAAAATGTAGGAAATTCACATCAACTATGTGTTCCAAAGCCTAAAATTACCTAATATTTGCCGTAGACATCCTATCCCTGACCCCAGTACCTAAACTTAACCATTGTAGGGGTCACCTCGAGTGAAGAAACAGGAGTTACTGTCTCAAAGCAGGTCTCGCACAGGCCTGAGAGAAGGCAGTAACACTGAACTCTCTTTTAGGCCATGATGGGTCATTTTAACCTACACGAGGACTTCAGTTCTCTTAATCAGATATTAACAGAAACAATCTTTTCTGTTCATGATTCATTTATTGTTTAACTAARAMTGTTTACGCATCTGTTAATCATAATAATGACATGTCACAAAGAATATAGAATCACTTCTATTTTTTTATTGTGCCTAAAAAGAGTAATGAATGGTATAGAAGCACAGAAAATCATCACCATGTTTTCATTGTGTTTTTATAAATCACTGTTTTATTTTACTGAAACATCAGTAATACAATTTTGAGTTTTCTTAAGAAAATCTTACATTTTTCTGGACACAGGTTCAGGATGATTATTTAAACAGAGTGTTAATTAATCATGATAAATGTTTACAGTGATTTCTTACAGTCCAGCAACAAGAAGTGTCATGATCTGTGTTTATTTTCTTAGTTTTCTAGTGTTTTCAGTGTTCCCCAGTGTGTCACAGCTCAGCTGCTCCCGATCTGTTTGATTGTCACCCTTGTGTTTCTCCCCAGGTGTGTTCTGTTTAGTGATTAGTAGTCTGTGTATTTAAACCCTGTCCTGTCTCAGTCTGATGTCGGATCATTGTGTTTTGTTTGTTGTGCTCTGTACCGTCCCATGTTCAGTCCTCCTTGTGCCTGTTTCTCYGTGAGAAGCTAGTAAGTCTTTTGAGCTGCATCGACAGCCTTTTTGTTTATTAATAAAACCTTTTTGTTACATTTTTGAAAACCTGCCTGCGCCCTGGATCTGTTCCTGCCTGATTCTCACAAGAAGAAGAGAAGATATTTTCATAATGTCTGTAAGAAGCAGAGCAAGTGGCCTTCACTGGCGACAGCTGGCAACCCTCTTATCTCTTCCTTTCTTTTTCTGACTAGAGTTTATCTAAGGCTCCGACCCTGACTAACACGGACGCCTTAGAGACAGGCAGTGTTCTTGCTGGATGCCAAAGCAGCAGGACAAGGCTGTTTCTCTCCGGAGAAACAGCTGGGCCTCAGGTTTCACCCATCCAGCTAAATAGGGTGACCTGGAGTCCCGGACAGAGGCAAGCCGCCTTTATGTCCACCTGGAGACATACGTCTCTTTAAAGTGTTTTTCAACTCCCTGGGGGAGACTTTTATTTTGAAAGACGACCAAAGCCACAGCTGGAATCTTTCTGGCTGAGCTGAAACAGACGGAGAGTCACCTAAACGACACCTTTTCACCAAGGACCAGCGAGGACAAGCTTCCTGGAGGGTCGTGGTGAGACAGTCTACACCAGGGGTGTACTTAAGCAGACGCACCAGGTAACGCTGACGTGTCCGTGGCTGACGTGTCAAGTTGAAGCTGAGAGCTCAGAGAGGACGTGCTGAATCCGGTTGAAAACCTTTCAAAATTAAAGCAGAAACACTAATCCCTAATTTTCTTACCTTTATCCTTTGCCAACCCCCAAGTGAAGTGCCAGTAAATCGTTTAGTCTTAACATCAGAACTGACGTTTTACTGTCTGTATAAGTAATCTGAGTTAATGTGAAGAAATT